CCAAATTACAACCCGATCGGTTTAAAACTGACAAAGTCTCATACAAACTTTCATCCCCTTTTTTACCCCCTTTGGGGGTGGAAAATATCAAAATCCTTTCTTAGCGAATGCCTACGTCATAACATCTATCTGTATGCCAAATTTTAGCCCAATCTGTCCAGCGGTTTGGGCTGTGCGTTGATAGATCACTATGTCAGTCAGTCAATCAGTCAGTCAGTCAATCACCTTTGAATTTTATATATATAGATGATGTGCATATAGTTATTATACCTAAAACTTGGTTCACTGCTTGACAATTAGAAATTTTGAAGTTTATGAACTATCGATAATCATTTTGTTTTATCCAAAACCAAGTAATATATTACGTTTGTCCATTATTCTATGAATCCAGAACTCTCATCATCATCTTAAATATAAACCTAGTCACATCCATTAAACCAAATATCCTTGTCAGAAAGTCTACGCATTCCCCCACAGGATGTTTTTCACCTGACTCTTCCAAATTGGCTCGATAAGAAGTAACTTCAAGTCGCTAACTTTATTTCTAACTTTAATCTTGAGTGGTGTCTTTTTCCTTATATTAAATTATTAAATGTTGAATCAATTTTTGTCTTCAAACTTTGGCGTGACAATCGGACTTTTGAAGTTTGGGCTATAATGGCCGAATACTCCAACGCAGTTTAAGTTTAGAATGCTTTGGGGTTTTCTATTGCTATTTTTGTTATTGAAAAGAGTGAGACAGCATTATCATTATAGGTTGCTTTTCAGCATTCTAGTGTTTAGCTTTACGACTGGTTTAAGTTTATATTTAATTTATTATTACACAGAGATGTTTGTTGAATTTTTTACGTCCCACACACTTTTCATTATCTACAGTGATAATTATCTCATCAAAATTCTAAGCTCATTTGTCCTGTGGTCTGTCTCTTAGTAAAAATAGCTGGTAGTCTAAAATGGCAACTTGAATTGATAATACTTTGACCGAATCGTGGAAGAAAACTGGAATCTTACGCTCAGTTAACAGCCATTGGCCGTACTACCACTTGAACACTGAAGCATTACTACAACGTCAATGTAGTCGTAGATAATCTTTTTCGCTCTTCTCTCGTTAAATGCTCTAAGTATCAAACATTAAATTCTCACAGCAATCTCAAATTTTATAGCAAACACTGCATTTGAAGGCTGCGACAACTAGATACAGTTTAACTCAAAACTATAATAACCAAAATTTATAACTTCTCCAATAAAATACAATGTACTCAAAATGTACATTTTAACCGAAATAAGTCAAACAGGACCTACATTGTGAGCACATAATACAAAATTATTCATTCATTGCAAAAACCGTGGCAGTACCGAACAAAACAGTAGGACAATACCACAGTACAGTAAGTTTGGAGTAGTACAAGTTAATTGTGTCCAACTAGACGTTCGTCAAACACGGCCTGGCAAAGAAAAAGCCACTTTTGCACGGTCAAAGGCAAACACACCCGCAAATTGTTCAACCGCAACGGCTTTGTTCGAGGTTAGGTTGTGGTGCAAGGCATAGGACACAGAGGGACTTGAATTAATCAATAAGTTAATCTGGCTTGGTACTTATTTAGATACTAAAATACTTAGTTAATCAGATACGTTTTACTCAAAACTGCTGCGGCGCACTACGACCTTTTTGCGTATACCTATAGTTTTGTCTACGTAAATGCCGTGGCGTAATGAATGGTTTTACTTTCTTTTTTTTTTCTTTCTAAAATACCAAAATGTAACAACAACAGTAAAGTTAAGTAAAAACGCGGGTTACTCACGTGAATATACTGAGAAAAGCTCTACTAGTTTCGAACCACAGAGGGGTTCTTCCTCATGAGCAGCGTGCGCGGTCGCGGCGACGTCGCGCAGCTCACAGAGCTTTTCTCAGTATATTCACGTGAGTAACCCGCGTTTTTACTTAATTTAGTATGTCTCACGATAGTTATTATAAAAACAGTAAAGTTATTAATAATGCCTTGGCTTGAGAAGAAGAACCTTTAACGTGATTTCAATCATAATATTCAATGTTCCTGGGAAGAAAAAGTGACCATAAAATTAAATAAAATATCGACGATATCGTATTTTTAAATACCCCTTGCACATTTTTAAGATGATGTGAAAAAATGTAATCCATTTAATAAATAATCTACTAATAATCCTACCGCTTAATTCTATTTAAAATTATATACCCTCTTACAACATAGTCGTTTTAAACTACTCTACAACAAAATCCGTAGTTTTCGAACCGCTATCAACCACTAACTTGCACCCCCAACGAACCCAGCCGAATTTAAACAGGCGTCGGTGAATTAAACGTTGTAAAGTTGGACAATTTCACAGCACTGACACAACTATTGTGTTTGCCCAACCCTTTGTCGTTAAAAAGGTACATCTTATTTGAAGTGCACTGAGATAGACACGTTTGCAGACATAGGGGCTCAGTTTGTTCAGTAATTTGCCAAATAAGTTGTGCAAATATTTGATTGAGTTCAAGATATTTGGGAGCAATCGTCGGTTCTGTTAAATAGTCGAAAGGAAAGGAAAAATTGGTAACCAATATTTTAGAATTTGACTGCACAGTCTTTTATCAGATTTTTTTTTATGAAAATAATACCTACCTGATTTTTTTGGACAGTCAAGAGATATGGTTGACAAGTAGCTAAATCTAAAAATAACAATGAAGCACAGTCATGGTTTTTTATTGAATAAACCGGTAAACAGACGAATCTCCTAATCGTCAGCAATCGGCGTCGCCCATGGACACCCACAACACCAAAGGTGTTACCGGCCTTTTGGCGATTAGGAGTTTGAGGATTGTAAGGGGTTCGGGAATTTGGGAGATGTGGGAATTTTAACCATAAAAAGATCAAATTTTCCTCCATCTAGTCTCATCTTAGTCTTGTGACTAAGCTAAAGAAATGAGTCACTATTTTAGACTTATGCTATATGCTAATTGTCGACTCAAAACATAAATTACCAGACAATCTTACAATATCAACCATTTTGAACAAAGAAATATTATGAAAAATCAAATTACTTGTGCAGAAATCCTATTACACTTTAAATTATTACCAGAAATAGCACCATAAGCACTTACAGTTACCCCACACCCTCGTACAATGGTAACTTCTATCTATGAAGCTGTCACATAATTCCAAGCTGTAAATATAAGAGAGAATCGCAGTCTAGTTGCCACGCTGAGCACGAAGTGTGTCTTGGCAGTAGTTCGGCTACCTGTCAAGTCATACGTTGCAGATATTTTATAAGCAAATATATTGCTATTTGATTTGAGGTGTCTGACTATATATTTTTATGTTAGCAAATATCAAAACATGCTTGTTTGAAATCCGTTGAAACCTTAAATCATTCACACTTCTTCGAACAATGTACCTCTCTCCGCAGCGACAGTTCTGAATTTACCTTAAACATTAACTTTAAACGATAATAAATTACTTTATGAAAGGATACTACACGATAATTACACTTAATCACTCCGTACTAAAGTACAAAATCCACTAACTGATTTAATAAACACAGTTGTCTAGTCTGTTCGTCTAGTTTTACAACTTTGTGTAACGCGTTTAAATACCAATTATTTTAACTTTATAACAACGGACGAGCTTTTAGCATTTCGCTTAGATCGTGAGTTAGTTAGTTGGTGGCAATCTAATGTAGCAAATGAGAGGTTACAGGATGTAGTCGGTTTTATTGCGATATTAAAGTGCCTCGAGATATTATGGACACTTGGAAGTGCGGACAGCCTTAATTGTCATGAAGTTACTCGTGTGGTTTCTGATTTTGAACTGCTGCTTGGTTTGATGGCCATTAAGTCAAGCTATGTTATAGAGCTATTAAGAGAATGAAAGGGTGTAATATAGATACTGTAACTTCCCCGAAAATATGAAGAACTCTGTAGATTTTCAACAGTCATAATCTTTAATCTCGTAACATAAGATAGGCCTATTTATCAAACGCCTATCACAATTCCAAACAATAGTCTCTAAAACTCTCTGACTAAAATATCAATATCAAAAAGCTAGTCACACTTTATCAACATCAAGACACAATCACATCAAGAATCTATAAGTGGCCACTGCCGACTAAAGGCCTCTTCCCACATGGAAAAGATTTCAGCATTAGTCACCATGCTTGCTCAATGTAGATTGGCGAATTCAAACTTATAAACCCAGGTTCCCTTACGATGTTTTTCTTCACTGTTTGTCAGTGATGTCTAAATAATCTTAGAAAGTAACTTGCAATAGGTCATATTGCTACTTGACTAGTTTTGCACGGTCATGCATAAGAAGCGAGTGTCTTAAATCTTCGGGCCGCCACGATCTCATACTCAGCATTAACTCTTCCATCCACAAAACCAAATTGGTCTACAAAATATACTCATATTCCCCTCAGGTTCACAACGAGGCAATAAAACAGTTTATTTGATTATAATAAAACAGTACAAACTATGGTAATTCGGGTAGATTCATACGAAGGCCTCAAGTTGGTTTGAAAGGGTATTAACAAATTGCTATAACGCTGCGTGTTGAGCTGAATTCTAAAACAGATATGAGATATTAAACAACGTTCTGCGAAGAAGATTATAAATTACTTTATTATCCGGAAAGTAAAGAATTCTCTTTGTACTTATTTTCCTTAACTTTAGAGAAGGTACTTAAATATTCGTTTCAAGGTCATTGTTCTCAGAAATTAAATGATGATCCATTATTAAATTAAGTGTCTTAGTGTAGTGTAGAGTGATTAGACACAAATGGTCGAAGTCTGTTACAAAAGTTCTTCATCTGCTTAGTGCTATCTAGCTCTTAGTTTTCTGTGAACTGCTCAGTTCATGTCTAAAACGTAACCTTGTGTTAGTCGGACATAACAACTTTTTACATTCATGTAACATAAGATTCTCTTTCGTTCAATATTAGACTTCTGCAAGAACTAATGAAATTTACAAAATCCCTTGTTAACAGGTGAACCACCAATCCGCTCCAGGTACGCTCGTCTTCTAGTCCTCGTGCCACCAGAACCTCCCAAGATCCTCAAAGGTCCAGTTCTTCAAGCAGTTGAAGATAGGGAAGTTAATCTGGAGTGCATCTCTGTTGGAGGAAAGCCTGCAGCTGAAGTACGTATTTATTACCTTTATGTCAGTCAAATTTTGAAAAAGTTTTATTTGGTGTTAAGATACTCTCGAAAATAATATGGATTCTGGAAAGTATAGTGAAGGGCAATAGGTTCATTTTGTATCTACTACATACTTTCACCTTCAGATATATGTATGTAGATTGTTATGTCGTACAATTCATAATATGACAGAAAACAAGAGATGTTTACAAAATCAAATCGTTTGATTCGGTTGCAAACATGAATTAAAAAATGTTCAGTTTGTGTTTAATATTTATAGTAAGATTCTCCACATTTTGCCGTTATGACATGCAGTTTTTATTATCAGAAAATACACAAGTATTTTCTGATTCAATAATAACGAATGTGGACGAGACATAAGTTCTGGGAAAAGTTGATAAGTTGGTAATTAATTTCTAAGGAGGTTTTTTTTATTATCTACTATAGATTTAGGGGCTTTTGGTCAAAATACGACCACGCCAGCCCCATCATAAACTAATACAGGATTTAAACGCTATTCCGACTTAAAAACTTATATAATATTTTGTAAAGTAAAATAGCTGCATTCGAAACAGGCTCTGATAATATACTTTGAACAAAACCAACATCTATCAAATTAATGTTAAAGGTATTCGTCACCACCTCTCTAGCAGCTGTAATAAAGTTAGAAGAGAAACTTTTTGAAACATTTTCAATAGAAATAAAGATTTATAAAGTTTTAAAAAAATTGCTAAGGACACTTCTTTTACAGATTACTTGGGTGGACAACGACGGTGGAGTACTAACACATGGAGTCAATTACACAGTAGTGCCAATGTCTGATAACCGGAGATTCACGGCTAGGTAAGGATTTACATATCTTTAAATTTCAAATCATTAACAATTACTCCCCTCCACAACCTCTCCAACAATCCTAAAAATCTTATCCCCAAAAGGCCGGCAACGTCCTTGTCATGCTTCTGGTGTTTCAAGTGTCCATGGGCGGCGTTGATTGCTTACCATCAGGTGATCCGTCTGCTTATTTACCGGCTTATGTCATAAAAAATATATTGATTACATTTAAAAATATGAATTTGCCATTATAATGAAAATGCAGTAATTTCTAAGAAATTACACTATCAACATGTTGTACTTTCAATTCGTAATCAGAAATTTTATTTATAACCAGGTCTGTGCTTCGACTGCGTCCAAGAAGACATCATCACAATCAGACGCTCACGTGTCAAGCTCAAAATACCGCAGACCGAGCTTACAGAGCTGTTACTATCAAACTGCAGGTAAGACTTATTTTTGTAAGATGAATTAGGTACCATATTAATAGGTTAGATGCCTGATTTTTATTTTAATGTCCGTCTGGTAGATTATTTTAAATCATTATCATCACAAGTGACGTCAGTTCTATGTACATTTTATACGGAGAAATGACATTTTAGCCCCCACTCCTAAACTTTGATCCATTTTATCTAAGTATTGTTTTATTATACGACAAAATAAAATAAAAAATTTTTCATTACCTAACTTACGGACTAATTATATTTTTAATTTTCGTACCCTGTCATCATCCCAATTATTATGTTTTTCGGCTACTATTTGACTAACTAGTCAAGTTTCTTGAATCTTTCAAATCATGCTAGAGGCATTTTCATGAACAGCGTTCCGCGTCACACGACGCGTCGACTGTCGCGTTGCTAAGGCAAGTTTCTAATCAAATAATTACATGGGTAAGCCGAAAAAACATAGTAATTAATCCAGTATATGTCCCGAAAGTTATAATATAAAAGTCATACCATTTTTACAGTACCACGTAAATTTTTCTATTATCGTTTAAAAAATGTACCTCCTTACGTGGCAAACCTTTGTTCATAGTAATTGATTTTCAAATGCATTATTATTTATTAGTCTATCCTCTTTACTGCTAGAAAAACCTAATTTAAATTCTGGCCGATACGTTCTTAAAAAGACATTCTAGTTAGAGTTTTCTACAATTTCTATATAGGTCTTTTTCCGCACTACCGTCCCTATCTATATACTTAGGTGACAGTTAACGTGGTAAATAGTCTACGTCTGTCACAATTTTGACATTTCGGAACCGTATTCTATATATTTACATCATTATTGTAACTTCTTAACCCAGTAATCTACACAAATGAAATAAAATCCGCCATCTTAATCTTCTGAAATAATAAAACTGAACTGAAGTAACCTAATTGCTTTAATTCAATAACATTCCAGCCTTATTACATATTCCATTAAAATAATACTTTGTTACGTCACAAATGTCTTTGATCCAATTTAATTAAATAATCGTAATCAGCTAATTGATACTGGAAATGTCTCGAATCACAATCATGTTACAATGTCATGTGTAGTTGGAAACAATTATTATAAGGGTTTGTATAGACACGCGCTTCGCCGCCGTGCCGCCAACGCGCCGCGGCCGCCACGTGCAACCTTCCTGATTTTACTCCACATTGATAGCTAGCTTGCAACTGCAAAAAACATGACTTCGCAGTGCTCAATGTATTATTAACAACTATATAGTGGTATTTTTTATGGGATAGATAGACGGATCGCGTGATGGTAAGCAATCGACGCTACGTATAGACATCCGCAACACCAGAGGGGTTACAAGTACGTTGTCGGCCTTTCAGGGGTTAGACATTTGATGACCTAGGATTTGAGCATTGCAAAGATTGGGGAGGGTAGGAATTGGGCCTCCAGTAACCTCACTTAAGCGGCTATGTATGGTAAAATTAAGCGATTTGCACCCAGTAGCGACAAGCACCGTGGCGGTGTAAATCGTCTACACGAGTCCTTATTTCGTATACGAATTTATATTTCATAGATTTACCTAATTGTATTAAATTGTGTCTTGTTTGTGTAATTTGTGTTCAAGTCGTGTATTGGTTTGACAATCGTCTGCGGCTTGCTAAATTTCGAATATGTAGCGTTGATAATTATTATGGCGAATAGAGAAGAGTTTTGGTCGATTTATTTAATGATTAAATTGTTGTTTAGCCTTTTGGGGTCTGTTATCATTTTAGGTCTTCAGTCAAATTGTGTGTAGTTTTATACAAACCTAATAATTTATACGGGGTAAAAATATAATTTGTGAAAAGTGTTTAAAGATTGAGGAATATTAATGTGAAATTTGTCACCAAAATATCACGTTATGGAGCGTGAAAAAATTCAAACACCAGTGATTATAAGAATTAATAGAACACCTCGCTGTGATTATCATTTTATTTATGTATCTTTATATTGCGTAATAGCATATCGTTTTGGAAATACTACTAATCCATCCGCATAGTTTCCCAAATCACATTCCAAAATTATATTTAGGAACATAAAAAAACAAGTTACATCATAAGCAAATCTTACATTCCGTCTTCAATTTATTCTAGGAAAGTGAACTAGACATTTAGATTTTCTCTCAACTTAATAAAAAATATGGAACACGTAGAGAATATTAGATTCCCTCGCACTGGTGTTGCGAATGTAATGAATAAACTGAGTTATTTTACTTGCACGTGTAATTTTATATTAGACTACATAACTGACCAGGTAAAAATCATATCGCCTTAAATATGACATGTTTTCCAACCTATTAATTAAAGGATTTCCACGAACATTTTAAGACCAAAATTAGCCAAATCAAATCTTTTTTGTTCATATAGATACTACCGTACGGTTTCGCCCGCTCTGCTCGACGCCTGTTGATCGTAGGGTGATGTCTTATCGAGGGAGGCTATAGGCGACCTCCCTCGGTAAGTGGACTATCCAACACAAAAACATTTTTCAAATCGGACCAGTAGTTTCTGAGATTGGCGCAATCAAACAAACAAGCTCTTTAGCTAGCTTTAATATATAATTGTACTAGCAACTTCCGCACGGTTTCACTCACTCTGCTCAGCGTCTATTGTGTATAGCATGATGTTTAATAGCCTATAACCTCTCTCGATAAATAGACTAACCCACAAAAAAAGATTTTTTTCAAATCAGACTAGTAGTTACTGAAATAAGCGCGATCAAACAAACAAACAAAGTCTTCAGCTATGTGTAATAGTGTAAGATTAGTAATATTGTGGTATTAGTATAATATTTGCTATTCTTAAAGTACATACCAATGTGATACCAATCAACTTGTTATAGAAAATAGGCACTATTGAAATGACGAAAACGAACATAGATATAGCACTGTCTGACTTGGAAATATAACCTAATACATAAATCCTTCGACGCTAGTGGTCAAATCGCTAAATAGGTTAAAAATTTATATATCTGTATCAACCGAAAAAACTTTCAAGAGATTTGTATGGCAATATAGCAGACAATAGAAGAAAATATGAGATGACCAGAGAAAGAGATTGTGACAGGACAACATCTCAAAGCAAAAAATAGACGAAATAGCTAGACATAGGGAAAAAAAGAAAGTCGCCATGGGAACTGCGCCAAAATTTTTAACATCTTTTGTCTGTCTGTCTGTTTGTACTGGCTTACCTCTGGAATGGCGATTGATTTTGCAAGGCTTTTATTGGCTGATAGGTGATGTACTGAGAAGTAACATATTAAGTAATTTTGGAAAATTGAGTAAGAAAAAATGTATGTTCTAAAATTCAAATTCTACGCGAATAAACTCAAAGGCAACAGTTAGTTAATAATAATAATTATTATTAATGAAATTACTTGTCTTACCTTGACGTGTCATTTAAATGACCTTGTATATTGAATCCTATATCTTTGTCTAAAATTTTGACATATTAGGTGAAAACGATGTAAATTAAAATCATTCGTTTCTATCTATTCTATTAATATCGAAAACCTTTCGTGACTCCGTAGTACTTACTGAATATTTTAACAGATTCGACCATTTCTATTCTTGTGGAATAGTTGTAAGACGATTTTAGTCGACTCAGTGGTTCGTTGTTCAAGTCGATTTAATAGAGTTTTTAAAAAACTTGGCGTGTTTTTTTTTAAGTGGGGAAAATCATCGAATGACTGCTCCCGCCCGGGTGCGGCGGGAGGGAGTGGCAGACTCTTACTGACTAAAAACCACCCCGTTTCTTCTCCTGCACGTCGAGGCAGAGCCCCGGTTACCTGTTAGGTTCTCCGCGACAAAACTGGGCGTGTAAAATCTGAATTTGGTAGTACTAACTACTACCAAAACAAAAATATTAGACCACTAGGTCTAATATTTTTGTTCTGCTCTATAATGTAGAACATGATTTCGTTTCTTTTGACAATGTCTTTAGTAACAAACTCTTCTTGTGTATCAGTTATTGGACTGATTTTAGTAGTGAAATATAGCACAGAATTTTCTTCTTTGTTCGATAGACTTGCTATCGTTTAATTGCTACTCTTTTTCTAAATAATTTGTGGTTTTCTTTGCCAGCTGTTACACACTATTTTATCATAATAGCTTCTCATACTATTCAAATTTTATGTCGTCATACCCGCCATTCATAATCTTTATTCTCCTTCTACAATAGAATCTAAAAACCTTTAACATGATTACAACAGTTTTTAAACAACTAACCACAACTTTGCCTAACTAAAAAGTCATTGTCAGAAAAGTCTATAAAGGTGTAGTAAAATTCAGTTCAGTGCAATTTTACAAGAAGTCAACAACAACTTGGAACTTGGCAACAAATAAAGCCGCAATAAAACAAAACATTTCCATTCAGCTTCCTGATAAATTATACTTTTTACTTTGCACTGTTCTTCAGTAACATCCCGCTATGATTTACGGGCAACCAATTTAACAGGTCGTTTATTAACTGGAGCTAAATATTAATACTGTTTATTTTGCTTGAATAGTTTGGTTTTTAAAAGAAAATTGTAATTTTACTTCTAATGCATTATTTAGGTACCATCACCCAGTAATTGATAAATGAAATGAGACTGACTTTGGCCTAATTAATGAACAGGCTAAATACGAAACATCACACAATCTTGACACAATGCTAATTTCAATAATACACTGATTCGGTAAACAAAATGGTAAAAAATCAACGTTTTCCGATATGCAAAAGCTAGATAAAAATTAACAGAAATAGAATAATCCAAAGGACATTAAAAGCAATGTAGAAAACCACTATAAAACCAATACACAATTAGACAAATTGAACTTAAAAACATAGAATATAAAAATGAAACTAAAAGAGACATAAAGGCAGTATGCTAATGATCACTTTGTAACCAAAAATGAACGTTTTAGCTTCCACAAAAATGAGATAATTTCATAGGACGATTAAGCCCACATTTCCTTTAAGACTTT